AGGTAATATACTTAGTTTTGATATTTTATGATATATATACAAAATAAATAAATATATTCCGAAATTATGACTGTAAAAAGGAATACATCGCAAAGTGGAAATGTATTGGTTTGTGAAACATATAGTGATTAGTAAAACCGCAATAATAGATGAGAGATTCTAATGCTTGGGGTATTTTGGGTGTTATGGGAAATGTAGTGATCGGACAGTAACGTGTCCAATAAAAGAATCTTTGAAAAGCGAAACAGATTGGCAAAATAACTAATATGGAATAGACTTTGATAAATGGAATTCAAGTAATTAAGGAAAGTGAAGAAGGGGGATAATATGAATGGATTCAATGCTGTATGAGGTGTCAAGGTGTTTGAAAAATAAATGGATCGGATTATTAAATCTGAGGTGTGAGAAGGGGGCTGACCAGAGCTGACCTTACTCTGGTACGTATCTTCGGATTTATATATATTTATTATTTGAAGAACAAGATACTCTACTATTACCATTTGGTGTATTATCTCAATCCTCCAGCCAGCTAAGGAGGATTTCTTATCTATATCCCTAAATTGGATCATTTTAATTGATATCTAATAAAAGTTTTATTTTAGATTCCCTAGTTATGATGTTACACCACATTCGATTTATTATGATTGTTTGTAAAGACCACTTTATGATGTGATTCACCGAATAAAACTACAACAAATAGACCCCCAATGAAAATTAGTTTTTTTTTCAAAATATACAGACTTTAAGCTGATTGCACAAATCAAACAAATCAAACAAAAGCAATTGAAAAAACTCAACGCAATAAATGCGTCAAGTGATTTCCCCAAATTTAACTAAAAATGAATTAAATGCTTATAATGACTTCTGCAGTCTGAAAAAAAAATTATTGAACCCCTTCACAGCAAGCATCTTTAGTACTTAGTAGAGCACCCTGACCTGCTGCAAATAAGATACATAGCCAGACACCAGCTTCTGACAACGTTCCTGAGGAATCTTAGCCCATTGCTCATGAGCAATAGACTCAGTTAAGTAAAGTTCTTGGGTTTGCATGTTGCAGCCGCCTTCTTCTAATCCCACCAGAGATCAAGTCAGGTGACTGTGATGGCCACTGTAGAATTTTCCAGGACTTCTTCTGCAACCAAGCCTTGGTGGAATTTGAGGTATGCTTGGGATCATTGTCTTGTTGCATTTCCAGTTGCTTTTGTGTGATTTGTTAATTGCAAACAGCTAAAACATTATGACAATAAACATGATTTTGAATGGGGGTTGAATAATTTCCTATCATAATTTGCATTAAATGCTCTTTCCATTGAAGGTTTCAAGAAAAGGTACATCAATATTTACCTGTATTGATTGTACTTTGGTTTTATGTACTTTTTAACTGAAGAATTCATAAATTACAAAATGCATAGGGCAAAGTGAATTCTCAAGTGCAGCTGCGCATTATCCAGTGACATTTTGTGATATGCTGTGAATTCTTTTATTAAAGTTTTATTAAAGTATAATAGTGACACAAAAGGTAAGTAGACAAGTATGATTAGAGTAGAAAACTATGGTTACTAGAATAGCATTAACTGAGGGCTTGAGTATATGGTTTTGTCTGTGTTTGTTTGTGGTTTTTATTTTTACAGTTGCAGGAGATGAACCAGGGTGCAGGGAGTGAAAGCTGTTTAATTGGTATGCTTTCCTAAAGAAGTGAGTTTTCAATGATTTTTTTTAAAGGACTGGTAACTGGGTTAAAGTATAACGGAGAAAGGAGTTCCATAGGAACGATGCAGCCCTAGAGGAGTCTTGAAGTTGAGCATCAGAGGTGGGAGTACGAGGATAGACCTAGGTCTTAAGCAGAGCATAGGGGTCTAGACGGGACATTCTTGTGTATTAGGGAGGATAGGTAGGTTGAAGCAATATTGTTTATAGATTTGTAAACAAGAGCCAGAATTTTGCTTTTTCACCAACCAATCCTTGTGAAATATGGAAAATATATATATATTTTTTCTTCTTTAGATATTTTTTGAGATTGTGGATCTAGAGTAATCCATCACTGAATTGTTTTTCTGGTTGATTTGATAAAGGATTCAACTTTTAGTTTGGCCTGATAGCAGAATTATAAATATTGTGTTTTCTGGAGTAGGTCAGTTCTGGGAGTGACATTGATATTGATCTAGCAAAGTTATTAATATATTCAAGAATGATTGGGTGATGGGACATTTCTGAAAATAATGAAATCTTAATTTGTCTCAGTGAAGCAAATAATGCACTAGATAAGGTGATATTTTTATTCTCATTTATTTATAAAGTGTATCAAGACTGAATAGCACTGTACATTAAATAAACTATACAGAATAGGACATGAACAGATGGTCTGAATTAGGATGGTCTTTTGTTGAATCTGTTGGCTATACATTTGATATTTTTAAAGAACTTTAGAAACAAAAATAGTTGTCATACAAGAGTACGTCACTTAGTGGGCAGATTTTTAATTTACGTTAACTGGAGGAATACCAGATATTTATTACATTTGCTACAGGACAATTTTCAGCAGAAAACATGCTACCTTGACAGTGACTTCTCTTGAAAATATATGCAATGAGATCCCCGTGATAAAGTGTGGGGATTAACAGAGCAAAATCTGCGTTCTTGTTAAAACTATTAATAAAACAAGAATGTGTTGGTGCTTTATTTTAACAGCTATTCATCTATATCTCTAGGTTGGAAGAAGGCAAAAAACATATATTACTTAAGCAAAAGACCAGGACTAGAAACTGTTTTTATTTTAGTTTTTTTTGGGGGGAGGGTGGAGGAGGAGGGGGTTGTGCTAATGAAAGACTGAGATTAAAATATTTGTTTTCCCTGAAAAGGGACACTTCACTTTTGGAGGTGTGGTTAGGGAATGGGCCTTTTCAGTTTATTGTAGGTCATTTACTGATAACTATGTATATTTTATAAAGATTAGACATGTGCAATTCATTCCGATCCGAAAGTACATTTAGATGAATTTCATGCAGTTCGGACATTCGGATGCTTACGAATGTCCGAAGTTCGAATTTCCGAAGTGCCGAACTGAATTGCCAAAGTTCCTAAGTGATTCGGATTTCTGAAAAGTGGCAAAACAAGTGGTTAGGGTTAAGTTTGGGGTCAGGGCTTAGGTTAGGATTAGGGTCCAAATTACCGAAGTTCCGAAGTGCCGAACCAAATGCCATTGGTCTGAATTGCCGAAGCATAAACATTTTTTTACTTACCCGAATTTCCGAACCGAACCAAAGTTTTTGCCCATGCACATCCCTAATAAAGATGTAATAAAGCCATCAGTGGAACAATAGCAAAAATGTTATGGTCACTGTACAAACATGCATTCCTGACCCTATAGTGTTAAAAACACTATTTAGTTGGCCAGTCCTACCTTATCTCCCCTAAATAGGGTTAATTCGTACTCAGAAGTGATGATTTTAGCCAATCCAATGCTTTCCCATGGGAAAGCATTGGGAGGCTCATGCCTACACACAGTAAAATGCCAGGAAGCACCACTAGTGGCCGTCTGAGTGACTGCCACTGAAGGTGTCTCTAAGCAGCAATGTAAACACTTGTTTACATTAAAATGCCTGCAGGGACAGGCTGTAGACACCAGAAACACTACATTACTTGTATTTGTTCTTGTGACTATAGTGTCCAAATTAGTTAATGATTAATGGTTTAAGTAAAAAATAAAGCATTATAATGTTAATATGTTAAAAAGACACTTGAGTATGTATGAAGAATTAATTTCCACCATATGGTTTCCTTATGCCATGTGCTTCTGGTAGTGACAACATAGGCCGGCCAACTCTAGGTAAGTTACCTCCCATAAAACATCAAACGGGGAACAAAAAGCAGAGATAATATAAATTCAGTCTCTCTCCCTTGTCCAGGATGTAGACCAAGCATGTCAAACTCGCGGCTCAGCGAGCCGCGAGTACATGCTTAGTGTTATAGCAGAGTAGGCACCTGCTTTCCCCACATTGCAGGTGCCTACTCTGCTAAAACTTACCTGGCCGGGGAGGATGGCCAGCGAGGAAGCTCAGCCTTCCTGCTTCTCACTGCTCCCTCGCGCACGCCCTCTGTAATGAAGCCGGGCGCCGGAATATGATGTCATGTTCCGGCACCGGGCATCACTAAACCACGCAAGGGAGCAGTGAGGAGCAGATAGAAGATCCCCACTGGATCCCAGAAAGAAAATGTGTGTGCAAGAATGTGTAAATGTGTGTGTCAGTGTGTGTAAATGTGTGTGTCAGTGTGTGTGTGTGTCAGTGAGTGTGTCTGTATTTAGTAGAGGGGGATGCTGTTTTTTTTTTTTTATACTGTAGTTTTCAAAATAAACCTATGTTTATATGAAAATTTAAGGTGTTTTTTTTTTGTTTTGTTTTCTTTACGGCCCACATAAACTTAAACCTTGTTTATGTGGCCCGTACTAGACTTTGAGTTTGACATGCTTGATGTAGACCATTAGCTTTCTCTCCTAAAGCTCAGTCCAAGGGCTGGACCCAGGGCTGTCTTTTTAACGCTGGACAAATGGGGTAGCTGCCCCGGGCCCAGTTACTCCTGAGGGGCCCCAGAGCAGCTGCCCCGTGGGCCCCGCGATTTGTGCAGCCCACATGGACCAGGCGGTGCAGCTTCACATAGCCGCACTGGCCTGCACACTAAGGTGGCCCATGCACTAAGGGCCACCCGGTGGGCATGTGTTTGCAGGGGCCCGGTCGGGCGCTGTTGCGCTTAAACAGCGTGACCGGGCCCCCTCCTGTTCGGCAGCCAGCTGGAAGTGACTGCAGCGCGTCTCTTCCTCCCACCTGGAATCAGAGCCGCGCGGGAGGTGGAAGGCAGGGAGGAGGGGAGTTCCAGAAAATAACTCCAACTGCCTCAGCCTGCCACTGGACCCCAGGGAAACCACCCTCTAGAAAAAGGTAAGAACCTGGAGGGTGGCAAAATGTAGTGTGTGTGTCTGTGTATCTGTTTGTGTGTCAGTGTGTGTGTGTGTGTCTGTGTGTGTGTATGTCAGTATGCCTGTGTGTGTGTGTGTCAGTTATACTGACACACACAGACATACTGACACTCACTGACAGACAGACATACTGACACACACACAGACATACTGTGTGTGTCAATATGTCTGTCTGTAAGTGTGTGTGTGTGTCAGTATGTCTGCCAGTGTATGTCTGTATGTGTCAGTTTGTCTGTGTGTATGTTTCAGTATTTCTTTTAGTATATGTCTGTGTGTGTCAGTATATCTGTCAGTGTATGTGTCTGATGGGTCTGTGCGTGTCAGTATGTCTGAATGTGTGACAATATGTCTGTCAGTGTATATATCTGTGTATGTATGTTTTGAATCTCTCTACTTTAGTTCCCCCACAGCATTGAGGTGAAAAGTGTGATTAGGGGTTGGGTGTAATTGGGGGCTGGCAGGGGCAGGGCCCCGAGGGCCCAAGAAAATGCTTTTCCCAGGGTCCTATTCATATTATAGATGGCCCTGGCTGGAGCCATTTGTAAGTTATAAGTTGTAGTTTGTTCATTTACTATGATGTACTGTACTGAAATTCATTGCAACTGCTATAATTTCTTATAGCATGTTACTTGCTATAATTTATTGTACTAAATTTACATTTAATATTACATTTCGTGTATATTCTATCCAAATATTCCATTAAGAAATATAAAAAATATTAATGTTGCGTATTGCCAATTATTGTATATTAATTAAAATATTATTATTTAAGCCTCTACCACAACAGTGACCTTCCATGTAAAACTGTGGTATAACCCTAACAAGGTTCCAGATAGTGTTACAGTTTACATTGCATTAAAAAATCAAAAGTTGGCTCTTAAAGGTCCAATTCTTAAAGGTCCTTAACTCTTCACAACAGGGTCTTGTGTAAAAAGTGACCTTCTTTTCTTCCGTTGCCACTCCAGGTCATATACACTAACACGTTGCTGCAAATTATTTGTGTTGCATTATAATTGTAAGCTACTGAACACGTGGGATGGATTTTTGCCCCCTATGAACTAATGCTGAACTTTCTATTTTAAGATGCTCAATGCAAATTCCTTTTGCCAAGTGACTGCCAGAGGCTCGACATTTTGCACAGACAAAAGCAGTGTTCACCTTTGAAACAAGGCATAATAGCCCCATGTTTTTTTCAACATTGCATTCTTTTACTCATCTTGCAAGATTTAATTTACTGTATTTTCTTCTGTCGGGGTTTTACATCAGTGACATAACTTTGCAAAGTTTAAAACAATGATTATTATTGATTATACTTCCCGGAGAGTAGTAAGTATTACGTCCTATTAACAATAGATTAATATTGGTCCTGCTACAACTGGTAGGGTAGGTTGGCAGTTATAGGCTTTTTAAAAGGACACTTCAGGCATACTCCAACATCAGCTGAACTTAAGTGCATTTGACATGTTTTGGCCATATATTCAAGCTGTATTTTTGTAAAACTTCAAAATTATTTAGTTTTGTTTAAAGGGACACTATAGTCACCCAGAGAAACTGCTATGTTTACATTAGGGTTAATTCAGCCTTTAGTGGCTGTCTCACTGACAGCCGCTAGAGGCGCTTCCGCTCTTTCTCACTGTGAAAATCACAGTGAGAAGACATTGGATGTCCATAGGAAAGCCTTGAGAAATGCTTTCCTATGGACTGTCTGAATGCGCGTGCTGTTCTTGCCACAAATGCGCATTCCGCTCCACTCAGAAGCCGACGTCGTAGTGGTAGGAGAGGTCACCAGCGCCGAAGAAGCTCGGCACTGGATTAAAGTAAGTAACTGAAGGGGTTCTAACCCCTTCAGCGCCACAGGATGGGGGGCCTGAGGGTGGGGGGGACCTAAAGGTTGTATAGTGTCAGGAAAACAAATTTGTTCAGTGATTTAGTGATGTCATATTCCAGCATCACAGCAGGGCGCTCTAGGGAGCACACCAAGAAAAGCTTAAAGAGTACAGCTTCTTCATTGCCTGCCTCTATTATGTATAACCGCCCACCTTGGAGGCAGCACTAAAGTGGCCAATGCTGTACAGGCTGACAAATACCCAGACGAAACCTGTGTTAGCCTATTATAGTTAAATTTATTTATTTATTTATTTATAAAATATTTTACCAAGGTGGATACATTGAGATTTATCTCGTTTTCAAGTATGTCCTGGGTCCACAAAACATTGCATTGTTACAATAGGATACACTATTACAAAAATACAATATACAAATATATAAATATATATATATACACACACACATAAATAAATGTAATAAATAACCGGTAATAAATATATTCAACCTGAACAGGTACATTCTGTGCTGAGGTATATTGCCAAAGATCTCTTAAAAGATTTTATATTGAATTAAGATTTGACTGTATCTCTGAAGTTATTCCATAATTGAGGTGCTCTGTAGGAAAAGGAGGATAGAGCCACTTTATTTTTGTATTGCGGTATGCTAAATATCGTGCTAGTACTGGATCGGAGGTTATAGGATGGAACAGCTGGGGAGAGTATTCTACTCGGGTAGAGGGGGAGCTTCCCAGAAATGCTCTTATGCACAAGACTGGAAAGATGAAGAGTGCGTTGGGATTCCAGCGACAGCCAGTTTAGCTCTTTTATCATGTCACAGTGGTAAAGTAATTACATTCTAGTACAAAGCGACAGAACAACTTATATAACTTAAGTTTATTAAAGGACCACTATAGGCACCCAGACCACTTCAGCTCAATTAAGTGGTCTGGGTGCCAGGTCTATCTAGGGTTAACCCTGCCTGCAGTAAACATAGCAGTTTCAGAGAAACTGGTATGTTTACATATGGGTTAATCCAGCCTCTAGTGGCTGTCTCATTGACAACTGCTAGAGGCGCTTCCGCGCTTCTCACTGTGATTTTCACAGTGAGAAGATGCCAGCGTCCATAGGGAAGCTTTGAGAATGCTTTCCTATGGATTGATTGAATGCGCATTCGGCGGAAGAGGGAGGAGAGTCCCCAGTGCCAAGTGAGCCCGGCGCTGGAGAAAGGTAAGATTTTAACCCCTTCCTCCCCCTAGAGCCGCGTGGGGGGGGACCTATTAGCACTATAGTGCCAGGAAAATTAGTTTGTTTTCCTGGCACTATAGTGGTCCTTTAAGGTGGGTTTGCGAAGCAGGTGCATACTACATCCCCATAATCAATTACCCTTATTTGCATTTATTGCACTACCTGGAGCTGTTTAATCTGTAAAGCTGTATTCATTTGGTTTATTTTATTAGTAAAACAAGATGTCTTTTTTTAATATTGAACTTTTGATAATAAATAGCCTTTGTGCAATTTTAGAAAGTCTACAGGCAGCATTATAAAGAGCTGAAATGTTTGATCTCTCATTATTCTTAAGTAACTCCCAAATACTAGAAGTATGCCTTAAGGCTGTAACTGATTGTCTGAGTTTTGTAAAATAAAAACACTTCTTCAGATAGTTCACACAATGCACAAAGGACTTCCGGGATGTTTTTATACAAGATAGATGCATTTTCTCTTGGCTCTGCAGATGGAGCATAAAAACTAACCTTTAAACCACATAGAGATGGCTTCTAAATAGACATTTTATTTTACCACCGATTGTACTTGATGTATTGCAAACTCTGCAAATTTCAATGGTCTCAAAGCCTTAACCACGAGACTACAAGAAGGCCTTCGGATAGCATGTTAGCTCAGTCATAAAAGTAACATGGTTCATTTTGATTTGTAAGATTTTTACTATGATTAACATATCGTTTGCCATGACCTTTTGTGTGGTTTTACACACTTCTTTTAAATTGTAAACTTGTGCTATGTGAATCGTCACCACTTCTTGTTTCTGTAAGTCATCTGTGTCCCATTGAATTTATATAAGTCATGTTTGCCCTTTGTACAGTTCTCCATAATATGTTGGCACTTTTATTCTCCAAACAAATGATTTCTTCTGGCCTTTTCAGTACACAGGTTTACTGATATATGCACTTATACCGTCATTGGAACACTTCATTCATGACACCAACAAGATCCACTTGATAGGCTTTGGCACTGCTTCAGGACACGGGACAACAATGTATGCCCAATACCTATTTTTGAGTGGTTGTGGTTTTTATGTTCTGATATTGCTATTATTATTATTATTATTTTAAATACAGACCTACCAGATCATGAGTAATTCTTATTATCTTGTTACAATTCATATTATCTTCAGTTATTACAATACAGAAAACCCTTTGTTATACATGAAGATACTTAAAGGGACACTATCGTCATCAGAACAACTACAGCTTAATGTAGTTGTTCTGGTGAGTATAATCATTATATACAGGCATTTTAATGCAAACACTGCCTTTTAGAAACATAGAACATAGAATGTGACGGCAGATAAGAACCATTCGGCCCATCTAGTCTGCCCAATTTTCTAAATACTTTCATTAGTCCCTAGTCTTATCTTATAGTTAGGATAGCCTTATGCCTATCCCACGCATGCTTAAACTCCTTTACTGTGTTAACCTCTACCACTTCAGCTGGAAGGCTATTCCATGCATCCACTACCCTCTCAGTAAAGTAATACTTCCTGATATTATTTTAAACCTTTGTCCCTCTAATTTAAGACTATGTCCTCTTGTTGTGGTAGTTTTTCTTCTTTTAAATATAGTCTCCTCCTTTACTGTGTTGATTCCCTTTATATATTTAAATGTTTCTATCATATCCCCCCTGTCTCGTCTTTCCTCCAAGCTATACATGTTAAGATCCTTTAACCTTTCCTGGTAAGTTTTATCCCGCAATCCATGAACCAGTTTAGTAGCCCTTCTCTGAACCCTCTCTAAGGTATCAATATCCTTCTGAAGATACGGTCTCCAGTACTGTGTACAATACTCCAAGTGAGGTCTCACCAGTGTTCTGTACAATGGCATGAGCACTTCCCTCTTTCTACTGCTAATACCTCTCCCTATACAACCAAGCATTCTGCTAGCATTTCCTGCTGCTCTATTACATTGTCTGCCTACCTTTAAGTCATCAGAAATAATCACCCCTAAATCCCTTTCCTCATATGTTGAGGTTAGGACTCTATCAAATATTCTGTACTCTGCCCTTGG